AACGGCCAAGGCTGTGCCCATCTGAAGCCAGGAGCTAGGAGCTTCTTCCAGGTCTCTCTCGTGGGTGCAGGGGCCCAAGCATCTGAACCATCTTCTAGTCCTTTCCCAGACCATAGCAAAGAGCTGGATCAGAAGTGGAGCAGCCAGGACTCAAACAGCACCCATATGGGATGCTGGCACAGCAGGCAGCAGCCTTACCCACAGCCGGCCCCAAGATCATCATTTTTATTATGAACAAGTTTTTGATCTCATGCACTCTCTGAAAGTCTCCCACACCAAGAACCACTGCTTTAGGATAACAGGTTTCTATAAGCAAAGAACATTAGAAAATAGCCATGACACATTAATAAAAAAAAATAGGGGGAGGATCAAAGAATATGATTGTGTTATTATCAACATGGTAAAAAGAGATAACCGATACTGTAATTAGGAGTATTTGCCTTTTCAAAAAAAAATTTAAGAAAAAAAATCACCATAAACAGAGGATTCTTCTATTTCTCGATACTGAAACTCTTCAAGTAATTTAACTGCATGCCAGTCTTTGAAAGATGCCACAGGTAACATCCAGCTAATTCTGCTTTTCTTTATTCTAAGCAGCTTCCAGTAGACAGAGCACTTTCCATTAATAAATAAGCAGTATTTGTCTATCTTTAGGTTTAATTGAATAGGTGAGGCCAAATTAAAAATAGAAAAGCAAAAAAGGTCAGAGAATATTTACTAGTAAATACAAAAACAAAACTAATAAGACAGGAAAAGTAAAAACAAGAAATTACTGTCTCTCATGAATTCCATGTTTAGCCATAATGACCAATTAGATCCTTGCACTTTGGGAGTATTCTTTTTTACCACCAGTCTCTCTTACATTCTCAATCCTACTCATCTATTCTGTTTTTGTTCATTCATCAGGCCTCAAGTGAAACATCCCTTCCTCAAGGAGACTTTGAGTCTGTGAGACTTTCTGTTCTATGGCCCCACAGATCTCAAGACCCTTACCATTAGGGTCACCAAATGACACATCACCTAAATGCAATTTTGAGAATGAATGGGCAACTAGTAATTATGATGACACAACAATAACACTAGGAAAGTGTTGTCACCTTATCTTATCGGTTTATCTTCCCTGCTTGATTAATAGCTTCACAAGAGGGGCCGGCTCTGCTGTGCAATGGGTTAATGCCCTGGCCTGAAGCGCTGACATCCCAGATGGATGCTGGTTCGAGACCCAGCTGCTCCACTTCTGATCCAGCTCTCTGCTATGGCCTGGGAAAGCAGCAGCAGATGGCTCAAGTCCTTCAGCCCCTGCACCCACGTGGGAGACCCAGAAGAAGCTCCTGGCTCCTGGGTTCAGATTGGTGTAGCTCTGGCTGTTGCGGTCAACTGGGGAGTAAACCATCGGATGGAAGCCCCCCCCCCCCCTCTGTAACTCTGACTTTCAAATAAATAAATAAATCTTAAAAAAATAAAAGTCAATCACACATGCTGCTTTCTCCCTTGGAATAACCTTTATTATTTTCCATGCAAAAGTCACTTACAGGGCTGGCATTGTGGCACAGGGGGTAAGGCTACCGCCTGCAGTGCTAGCATCCCATGTGGGTGCCAGTTGGAGTCACAACTGCTCCACTTCCGATCCAGCTCCCTGCTGATGTGCCTGGGAAAGCAGTGGAGAATGGCCCAAGTGCTTGGGCCCCTGCACCCACAAAGGAGACCCAGAAGAAATTCCTGGCTCCTGGCTTCGGATCAGCGCAAATCCGGCCGTTATGGCCAATTGGAGAATGAACCAGCGGATGGAAGACTGCCTCCCCCCCACCCCCCCGCCTCTCCTCTCTCTGTGTAACTCTGACTTTCACATAGATAAATAAATCTCTCTGGTAATTTTTCTTGACAGCCTTCTCCGTTTTATCAAAAACTCATGTCTCTTAAAAAAAGTGTGAAATATTTTAGCTTATATATAGCTTATATATAGTTTACACAAGGACAAAGGAATTATGCACTTCAAAAATTTTAATACAGAACTTTTAGAGATATCAATATATTTAACGTACTCACTTAAAAGGCCTTTTGTCTTTTCAAAGTTGTCAATTTATGGGTCATGTTTGGTTTCTGAAAAAACTTTAAATGTCTAAAGACCATTACTTTGTGTTCAGAACCATTACTATTTAACTGTCCTAGGCATTTCTTTGCTAAAACCCAATGGTTACTTAAAATATAAACCCCATTTAACAAAAATACTACTCATATATAAACTGTTACCCAACTTCCCAAAATAAACTTCTAAATGACATTGACACAACAGTCCATCAAGGCAGAAAATGACATTCTGTAAGAACACCATCTTTCAAAATATTTGTTAAATAGTATCTGTCCCTCTGATTATACATGTCCTGTTTACAGCTGGAGTCCTTCCTTAAGTCTCTTGCCTACATTGGTAACCAATACACAGCTCAAGCCAAAATAAGTTATCAGTACTACCAAATGAATGTTCTGGTACAAATTGGAAATTGTATGATATGTTTACATTTTATACTTAAAATGAAAAAAGCAGTACAAAATGAATATAGAAAATATTTCCAAAATGCACACTCAAAAACATGTTTTTTAGACTTTTGTTATACAACTGGCAATTTAATCTTAGAAAAAAGGTTAAGACTTTTCATAATAACCAAGACTGCTCTAAGAACTATGAAACAAGGTAACAATTAAAAGGCAGGTTTAATATCCAAAAGGAATGTACAGCTGTCAACCCAACTAACAATTCCAACTTCCAAAAATAATTCAAGTTCCCAGAATTTCAAAAGAGAACAAAATAAAGACCACAATTCCCGAGACTTTCAAACTGTATGTACATCTTTTCCAAGTTGTTACTGCTATGGGTTAAACAATATGGATTTCCCCCCCTTCCTTCAAATTCTGGCAACAGATGCTAAATGCTTTGAACCCCTATTTTCACACAGTCTATATGCTAAGTCTGCTTTAAAAGGGGGAGACGGGAGGGCAGCTGAGATTTCTTCCTTCTCAATCCACTTCATACAGTGCTTGTTAACATCTCATTCTTAAAACTGTCTAGCTTTGTTACCAGAAGATGATGCCATCAATAATAAATTTTAACTTCTTAAGCTATGGTTTGTATAAAGTCAAAAACTGCTCTGGCCTCAGAGTTCATCTTTAATTCTATACAGCTTGATAAATGGCTTACTGACTTCCCTCTGCTGGCTCCAATAAATCTGCCTAAGACCCACTACTGCTATACCTCATGGATGTTCATCCTTTTTTTAAGATTTATTTATTTATTTGAAAGTCAGAGTTACACAGAGAAAGGAGAGGCAGAGAGAGGGAGAGAAAGAGGCCTTCTATCCAATGGTTCACTCCCCAAATGGCCACAACAGCTGGAGCTGTGCCGATCCAAAGCCAGGAGCCAAGAGCTTCTTCCAGGTCTCCCACGTGGGTGCAGGGGCCCAAGGACTTGGGCTGCCTTCTACTGCTTTCCCAGGCCATAGCAGAGAGCCAGATCGGAAGTAGAGCAGCCAGGACTTGAACTGGCACCCATATGGGATGCTGGCGCTTCAGTCCTGGGTGTTAACCCGCTGCATCACAGCGCTGGCCCCGGATGCTTGTCTCTGAGGCTCAGAAGTTTTACCTCTCTACCAGGAAAGGGCACAGATTACATTCATTGGACCAAACACTCAGTTTCCTTCACTTACTCTATTCTCTTTGTTATGGTTTATTCTGCAAACATTTCATGACATCTATTGTAAGTTGTGAAACACATTAACACTAGAAATACACTGTCTCTGCTCTTGAGACATTTTCAGTCCAGTGAAGGAGACAAACACAGAAAACAATTTCTCTAAGTGTAAGTAATTTTATAAGAAATTTCTACAAGAAAATTCTGTAGGAATAAAAATGAAACACAAGGCTTCACAAAGTGGTTAACATTTGAAATGGCTCTTGAAGAACAACAGGGTAAGATGGCTGTACATTTTAATAGAGATGCTGAGTAAAGTTAAGACCTAATGGCAGCCAAAGTGTTCACTAAAATTTATTTCAGGATTTCATTAATAGCTCTATTTCTACTTCATTCTTGGATAGTAATATTAACTATAAATTCATAAGAATTACAACATATACACACTTGGAGATTTTGTGTACAGAGTGACCATCATATGGATAGAAGCAGGAGAAAGGCCAGCGCCGCGGCTCACTAGGCTAATCCTCCACCTTGCGGCGCTGGCACACCGGGTTCTAGTCCCGGTTGGGGCACCAGATTCTGTCCCAGTTGCCCCTCTTCCAGGCCAGCTCTCTGCTGTGGCCAGGGAGTGCAGTGGAGGATGGCCCAAGTACTTGGGCCCTGTACCCCATGGGATACCAGGATAAGTACCTGGCTCCTACCATCGGATCAGCGCAGTGCACCCGCCACAGCGCGCAGGCCGCAGGGGCCATTGGAGGGTGAACCAACAGCAAAAGGAAGACCTTTCTCTCTGTCTCTGTCTCTCTCTCACTATCCACTCTGCCTGTCCAAAAAAAAAAAAAAAAAAAAAAAAAAAAAGAGAGAAGAGAGAGAGAGAGAGAGAGAGAGAGAGAAGGAGGAAAACGCACTTTGAAGACAATGAGGAAATTCAACGTAACCAAACTGATTATCTGTAAGAAGGAAATACTTGTATTATACAAAACTATCCTCAATGTTGTTAAATAAAGTGGAAAGAGTATCAAATTAAAACTCCAGAGACTGGACTCAAATCTCAGACAATAACTATGCCCGAGTTATAACAAAACCTTTTATTTAATTCCTCAACTGTCCAGCTTATTCAAAGAGTTAAGATTAAATAAAACAATGGCTTTGAAAAGTGCTCTGAAAAACATAAAGTGCTATTCAAATAATTTTACTTTCATTATGTTTGCATTTACTAAATTGGAAAAGAACTTTAGAAAGCTATATTTCTGATACATTTAATCCATTGTTCTAAATTTATGGTTAAAAAAAAAAAAAAAACAATAACTTTTACCCGTTCTACAGATCGTGCCCTCTTCTTTGGCCGAGTAGGCAACGCATCTTCTTTTGGATTGGTGTCGATCGCCCAATAGGACCCCTAAAGGTAAAGAAATAAATTATATTAATAGTATATTACAGCAACCCTGTAACATCAAAATGGATTTTTCTCATCCTTGGTTCCAAAAGCAAACATTTTGCAAATAAAATAATGGAAAAGCAATGTAAGAAGAAATATGAATTCTGAATGCAGGAAAATTAAGTTTAGGCAAGTGAAGAAAAAAAGATCATTTGCAACTAGATAATTAAAGAGGATGAAACTATAAGCTGAAGAATTCATGTCCAAAAACTTCTGTCATAACCAATTAAGAAGAAAAAGGAAATGATCAACCAAATACATTTTAATAAATGTTTGTAATTGAATACATAGTGATACTTGCATTATATGACATTAAAGTCCGAAAGAATTTTATATATAAAGATACTGTAGTTTTTGTATCTGGGATCTCACAAATATAAATGATAAGTCAAACAACATATGAAGACAAACTGTTTAAACACATTTTATATAAGGACATTCTGAGAAGCAATGATCTGTGTATAAATCTTTTAATGCTTACTCTGTCATAACAAATACTTATTTTCTCTTACTTTTGATATAGGTTCTTGCATCATTCACACAAAACACTGCATTTAGGGACAGACATTTGGCACAGTGGTTAAGACAACTCCTGGGATGCCTGGGTTCAGGTCCTGGCTCCACTTCTAATTCAGCTTCCCACTAATGTTCAACTTGGGAGGCAGCAGAAGGTGGGTTGAGTCCTTCAGGCCCTGCCACGGCTTCTGCCTGACCCAGCCTTGGGTGCTGCAGGCATCTGGGAAGTGAATCAGCAGAAGGAAGATGTCTGCCTGCCTGCTTCTCAAAAAAAAAAAAATAAAAGGCAAATGTACTGAGTATCTACGGTGTTCTAGGCATTAAGAAATTGTGACTCCTTCAAAAATACTTTGAAAAGCACAGATCATTTAGTTTGCACATCTAATACTAAGAACAGGAGACCAAAGTTCAGAAAGATAAAGTGGTTTGCCCAATGAAGGATATGAGAGCCAGGACTAGAAACAAGGTATGTAGATATATTTTTTTTTTTAAGATTTACTGGGGGCCTGCGCTGTGGCATAGCGGGTAAAGCCACCACCTGCAGTACTGGCATCCCATATGGGTGCCGATTCAAGTTCCAGCTGCTCCACTTCTCTGCTATGGCCTGGGAACGCAGTAGAAGATGGTCCAAGGATGGCCCCTGCACCCACATGGGAGACCCAGTAGAAGCTCTTGGCTCCTGGCTTCGGATTGGCGCATCTCTGGCCATTGCAGCCAATTGTGGAGTGATCCAGCGGATGGAAGACCTCTCTTTCTCCCTCTCTCATCTCTGCCTCTACTTCTGTAACTCTTACTTTCAAATAAATAAATGATTTATTCACTGGCAGAGTTAGAGAGAGAGAGAGAGAGAGAATGAATGAATGAATGAATATGAATATCTTCCATCTGCTGGTTCACTCCCCAAATGGCCACAATGCAATTGGCTGGGTCAGGCTGAAGCTAGGAGCCTGGAACTCCATCCAGGCCTCTTATGTGAGTCATAGGGGCCCAAGCACCTGGGCCATCTTCTGCTGCTTTCTCAGGCCCATTAGCAGGGAGCTGGATCAGAAATTGAGCAGCCGAGGCTGGCGCTGTGGCACAGTGGGTAAAGGCGCTGCCAGCAGTGCTGGCATCCCATATGGGCGCTGGTTCAAGACCCAACTGCTCCACTTCCGAACTAGCTCTCTGCTATGGCCTGGGAAAGCAGTAGAGGACGGCCCAAGTCCTTGGGCCCCTGCATCCAGGGAGACCTGGAAGAAGCTCCTGGCTCCTGGTTTCAGATCGGCGCAGCTCCAGCCATTGCAGCCAATTGGGGAGTGAACCAGCAAATGGAAGACCTCTCTCTCTGCCTCTCCCTCTCTCTCTGTGTAACTCTTTCAGATAAATAAATAAATCTTTTTTTTTAAAAAAAGAAAAGAAATGGAGCAGCATAACTAAAACTGGCACTCATATGGGATGCCAGTATCACAGGCCAGCTTAATAACGCTGACCCCAAGGTCTTGATTCGTAACTCTTCTTTTCCTCAATTATTCTGTTTCCCTCCCCCCACACATATATTTAGGGGAGGGGATACAAAAAAAGGGAATCAGAAAGGAAAAAGATAAGGGAGAGATAATTCAAGTCAGAAACAGGGATACAATATATATTTTAGTCCTACAATTAATCCCAGTGGTAGTATTCAAATACAGTCTTTGCCTGTAATATCTTCATTAATCCTTCTAGGATGCTTTGTCATGAAACATGACGATGAAGCAAAATACAGTTCTCATACATCCATCTTCACACTCAAGCCCAATATGAATTACTATTGTTTCCTGAACATACCATGTCATTTCATGCATCTATGCCTCTCCTACATGTTATTTTTGCTACTTATAATAGTTACCCTATCAATGACAAATTCATGTTCCACCTTCAAATTTTAACTTAGATATTATCTAATTCTTTTCTCATCTCCAGCCATCAGCATTCTTTCCCTCAGCAAGATTTCTATACTTTTTATATGTTTAGATCATGGGCTGGCCTTTATATTACTGTTTCGTTTACAGGTCTATATTCCCTTCTAGGCTATGAGTTCTTAAGGGTAAAAACTACTTCATTCATTTCTATGTCCACAGTGCCAATCACCATTCAGACACAGAACAACTACTCAACAATTTTTTGATATCTGAAGGAAAAAAGGTTTTTCAAGAAGTATGCCAAGAATGCCAGCATACAGGGAATGATGCCTGGTCTCTCAGATCCTGGTCCATGCAGTTACCTAACCTTTGCATTTATCATCCATCCAGTACAGCAGTATTGCTCTGTGTTCTCTTTTCAGAGGTCACTTCATCTCAGTCAGTCTACCAGATCTGATAAACTTATCAAGAACCATGTAAAATGTAGTTGATATGGAAAGTAAACAATAAAAATGAAAACCGTATTAATGCCACTACTAAGACCACTGGTTGCTATTCTCGCCTTGTCTTTTATACTACTGTGTCTGTTTAAGTGTTTACAGAAGGTGATAATGGAACGAACCAAGGCCTTCACCAAAAGGGAGTTAACCAAATGCTACTACAGGGATATACTCAGTTCCCCACCCAGGAGACAGCAGCTTGAGACATCGCCCCATGTCAGCAGGAAGTAGCTCTAAAGGCAGATCATCCTCCCTCTACCACTCCAGGACTTTTGGGGCTAATGTAATCCCATACAACTCTTGCTTTATTAAAAGGAGGGGGGTTATATTAGTAAAATGGCACAGTCCTATCTATGGCACGATTTATACCCCAGACACCATCCTAGGCTCTAGCCCCCAGCACCGTGGCTGGAAGCCAGGTGACCCCATGGCCCAACCACCAGTATCAGTTCTACCCCCATCACAATAGGATTCACTGCTCCTACTTGCCTCCCCCCCCCCCCCCCCCGCAAAATTTCAAGAGGACTTGTTCCTGAACAGGTGGCTCTCATTCTATCTCCTGATCTCTTGATCTCTTTCTCTTGCTACCCTTCTTGATCTCTGTCTTACACTCTCCTTCTCTTTCTTTGCACCTTCCCTCCGGTCTGTCAAGTTTCCCCCAATAAACCCTTTCCTTTAAAAAAAAAAAAAGAAAACCATACACATTTTAGTATATACTAATTTTTAATGAAACACATGACAATCCTATCAGTTGACATTCAAGTCTCAATTTTATGTAAAAAGACACTACAGTTTATACACTGTGGAATCTCACAAATCTAAATGGTAAGTCAAACAACTTAAATGCTTAATTCATAAATGGGTTCAGCCAGCAAGTTTCAAAATAAACAAAGTGCAAAAAATTTAAATTATGTTCTCTTAAAAATTGAAGGAAAAAAACAAGAGGGCATACCAAGAGAAACAGTTTAAAATATTAACACTGTTTATGGAAATGATAAATTCCATACTTCTCCATTTTCTTTTTGTTTCTTAATGCATTCCTTTAAAATATAAATCTGTTGGAGATGGGAAGGGAGAAAAAGCAGCTTATCTTTGCTTTTCCTTGCTATATATACAATGTATCTCACAAAAACCAAACTGCCTTTTATATAGCCAATCAATAAACATGCTTAATCCAATTTCCTCAGAGAGTAGAATCTACTGTTTTACAATCATGTGGAACAAGTAAGACAAGACAGTTTAGTCTGGTTTCATTTTTATAATAAACTTTAAAGTGGGGTCAGTGCTGTGGCATAGCAGGTAGCCATGGTAAGACCTGGGCAGATTTGGAGCCAGGAGTCGGGAGCCTCTTCCTGGTCTCCCATGTGGGTGCAGGGGCCCCAGCACATGGGCTATCTGCCACTGCTTCCCCAGGCCATAGCAGAGAGCTGGATCAGAAGAGGAGCATTTGAGACACAAACCGGCATCCATATGGGGTGCTGGCACTGCAGCTGGAGGCTTAGCCTACTGTGCCACAGTGCCATCCCCTTTACTTTCTATCTTTATGAATTTGACTGCTAAAGGTACATATCATCAGAATCATGCTATATTTGTTCTTCTATAACTTATCAGGTCTTCAAGGTTGAACCATGTTGCAGCATGTATTAAAATTTCCTTTTTAAGGCTGAATACTATCACACTGAAATGTATTAACTACAGCTTATCCATTTATTCATCAGTACACATTTGAGTGGCTACTGTAAATTTAAATATTATTTTTAAACACTAATAACAAACGCCCTAGTGGGTGTGAAATGGTTATCTCACTGTGCTTTTGGTTTGTGAGGGAAAATTTAAGGTCCTTTGACCCAAATCTGTGATTTCACAGATGGAGCTCAGAGACAGAGGATTTCACAGCCTCTTTCGTGAATCATTTTAATCATTAGTGTTTCACGTTTGGGTGTTTGGTGTTTTCTGAGTATTTAATGGATAGCAATATGCCTATGAGCAGATTTTTTTCCCTTTGTTGACCTCTTCATGACAAGCCAAAGCCAATCATATTTTGTGTGGAATAAAACATACATATCTT